TAATATAATATAATATAATAAAGATTTTTTTAATGGTGTTTGTTTACAGTTTTCTTAGATTTTTTTTTCTGTGATTTTATTTATTAACTGTGATTTTTACTAAACAGAAAAATCTGTAAAACAGCGATAAATTGTTCCAAAAATGCGACTAAAAGCTGTTTTCTAACATTCATTTTTTACAGTGTATTGATTTGTACTGTAACAGTCCAGCTCATAAACTTTCCCTCTGACACTCAGCTGCCTTTAACTCATGTCTTTACACTTTCACTACATTTTACTCTTTAACTAATAACACAGAAGCTCCAGCTGACCTTTAAACTGCTGCCACTGCTCATAACTGATGCTTCAGCTATTAACAGAAACTTCAACTCCGTCTGTCGTTTGTGGTTCTGCTCACATTTCATCTCTCACTCGTCGTCGAGATGCTGACACCTCACGCCTACCGGCTGCTTACGTACAAACAACTGGAGCTTGGGATTAAAACTGTGATTTGAAACGTTTTCAGCGATTTAACAGACTTTTGTCAGCCTTCAGAACCTTTCAGTGGAAAGTCTGTCACTGTAGAAGACGGTTTCTGATGTAGTTCTCCACACAGACAGTTTATTATATCGATGGGCCAAATACGAAATCTGACATATCTGTTGTAGTTCTGTCGTAAAACGCTCATATTTAAAGAAATCACAGACAGATAGACTCAATCCCAGGTCATCCAAACCTCCAAAGTGTCATTAATAGCTACGAGCCTGGATCTCATTGGGATGTTTGCCCTCCTCTGTACAGACTCTCTGTTATTCACTCCTATTCGTGGATAAAACCTAGACTCACTATTCTCTATTTATCGGACTTGTCTGCCGTTCTGATCTGCATTTGGTGCTGCAGGATCGATATAAACGAGGTGCTGAACTCCTGAAAAAGAACTTTTTCTCTGCTCCTGCATGTGATCTATGTTTTTGTTCTGGGGTCACCTTTTCATTCCTGGAGACCGTGACAGCTGCAGCGCTGAGAACTGGACTGTTGTGGTCAGTGGAAGTCTGTCATGCAGACCGTCGGGCTGCACTCATTATTCTCAGCTGTGTGTGTGTGCAAATCCTCCACAGGCTGATTAAAGCCCTTTGCATTGCTGCTGGGTCCAGTAATCATCTGTCAGCGTGTGAGCTTCACACAGACCTCGCTGATACTCGGATCCTCCATCCATCTCTGGCCTTTTACAGAATGTTCCTCTGTGACTCCGGCGGCATGCCTGCCATCATAGTGACACACGAAAGAAAGAGCAGAGGATGAATCACGCCGCCTCCTCTCTGCTGCACAGACCCCCCGAATCTGCCACATTCCTTCCCATGTCGACCGTCTGCCCCTGGGGGGAACGAGGAGCAACACGCTGGAGTAAAACGGGAAAACCACCTCATTGTTCCCGGAGTGACGTCAGCCGCTCGACAGTAGCTTTCACGCTCAATCAAACGCATGTCAAGTCCCACAGCAGTGTATGATACGGTGTGTGTGTCTGGATCTGACTGTAAGGATTTGTCATCCCCGTTGGCTCGAAACATAAAATTAAAACAATCACTGGATACAAGCAACTAAAAAAAAAATGTTTCCAGAACAGATGCAGCGTCCAAGGACAGGAATTAGCCTTTAATTTGAGTTTTTACTTTGAATTAGTCCTCAGAAGAGTGGAAACTGGAGCAATCAACAATTCCATCTGTGGAGGCAGACTGTTCTAAATCTCAGTCGCTAACCTTGTACCGGGGTTGTTTTGTCCAATTTCCAACGCGGTTATTTCAAGCAACTCTTATAATCAAGGGAAAAAAATCCTAAATGTACGAGTTGGTTGAGCTACAATAAAACATGTTTGTTCTTTTGATTTAACAGAATTCTCAGGCTTCATTCTCCACACGTTAAGGACGTAACATCAGAGTTAGTTGGTTGTTTCACCAGAATGAATCTGAAGGCCGGTATGTAAGGATGTAAAAGATCTTTTGTGTTTTTTTAAGATGAGAGGTACATTTAAGCTATTTTAAAGTAGAAATGGATTCTTTTCATGGAAGATGTGTAATTTATATGCAAACATGTAAGACTACGGCAACCCTGTGACTCACTTCTAGCTCCAGTTTTACTCCAGATGGACGGTGAAAAATGAAATCTTTGGTGATCCCTGGATTTTTTGGGATCCCATCAAAAAGTTTACGACCGAGTATCTGTTGTAGTATAAGTTCAGCATTTGCTAATTAGCATTCAAAAACTAAAGGCTAAGATGCTGAGTGTAAATATTGGTTTACTTTGGTTTAGCTTAGCTTAGCTTAGTTTTTGATTTATCTCATCGGGTCAATACAGAGCATGAAACTGATAGTTTGACTTTATAGCAAATGCAGATTTTTTTAACTCTTGGCAATTGTTCAGTTCAATCCATCCACTGTCTATACACCTTAATCCTCACCAGGGTCACTGGAGTCTATCCCAGCTGACTCAGGTGAAGGCAGGTTCACCTGGACAGGTCACCAGTCTATCACAGGACTACACTTAGAGACAGACAACCAAGCACACTCACATTCACACCTACGGACAATTTACAATCACCAATTAACCTCAGCATGTTTCTGGACTGTGGGAGGAAGCCGGAGAACCCGGAGAGAACCCACACTGCACGGGGAGAACATGGAGACTCCACGCAGAAAGATCCTGGGATGCGAACCAGCGACCTTCTCACTGCGAGGCAACGGTGCTAACCAGCTTGCAGCCCTAAAGGCTAAGATGCTGAAGGTAAATATTGGTTTACTTTAGCTTGTCTTAGCTTAGCCTAGCCTGGCTTAGCCTAGCTCAGCTTAGTTTAGTTTGTGATTTTTCTCTTTGGGACAAAACAGTTTAACATCCAATACAGAGCATGAAACTGATAATTTTACTTTAACTCTTGGCAATTGTTCAGTTCAATTCAATTTAGTTTAATTCATTTCAGTTTTACTTGTGCAGGGTAAATTCATGGGATATGTCATCTCAAGGAGCTTCACTTACAGATTTATACCGACAAACCCAACAAATCCTTCTGAGTGGCTCTTTGGTAACAGTGGAGGAATCCTCCGACTGCAGTATCAGACTCATTTCTTATCTACGTTATGTAAGCGTTACACTCAAAATAACTCTTTGAATGAACTGTTTAAAAAAAAAATCATGAAAAGTGTTTCCACATGATTTACTGGCTGTCTCTCAGAATTAGGCAATTCTGTTGGACCTGTTTCATTCACTTGTGCTGAGCCAATGTAATTTATTTGGGCGGATTTAAGCTATCCAACTTAATTCAATCAGGTTTTACTGTATTAAAGATGACACTCGTAAATGAAGTTGATTCAATCCAAGTAAATGAAGCCGAGTCGAGTTTTTATCAAAAGGAAACACTTTCATCAAGAAAAGATAGAATTATGTTCAACCAACTAATAACTTTTGACTGATTAAACAGCTTAACTAGCAATTTTGTTCATCCAACTTAATGTAATTATGTTCAGTCAGCTTAATTTATGTTCATTTTCAAAACATGAAGTTATTTTGTTGTACTGTAACAGCCAATCAGTTTCTCTTTTATTAAACGTACACTGTAAAAAACAATGTGAACAACGATGCATCGATCTTTTATTGAGTAATGTCAACTTTAAATTATATTCAACCAACATACTAGACTGACTTCGGGGAATTACCTTTGTTACTCTAATCAGTATTGTTATTGACATTTTACTTAATAACTGGGAGCATAAACAAAGGTTTTAAAGTTGTTCCAAGCAGTATTTTTTTGACTGTTATGTACTACATCACCATGATTATGAGGATGAGTTTGCAATTAAAAAAATGAAGTTGCTCCAGTGTTACTAGTTGGAACTTCTGACAGCGAGCTGAACAAAAATTAAAGCTATCGAGCCAGTTTTCATTAAATTATTTCAACTTGAATTTAGTTTTAATTTAACTAATGTAGGAATTTCAGTTTAAAACACACACACTATTAAGTTGACACAACTTTATTGAAATGTAGTCGAATGAAATCATGTTCGCAACTCAAACAGTTTATGAAAATCAGTAAATTAGATTTTTGATCTTTGAAAACTGGTGTCTTTAATTACTTTTTGTAAATGTAGGACTCAATTTTTTTATTTTTTTAAAAATAATCTTTTAATTAATTTTCTGATGTTTCGAATATCTGCTTTTTTTGTATTAGAGTAGAGCCTTTTTTTCTGTAACTAAGACAATTCTGTTTTTACAGTCGCCCTCAAATTTATTCAGAATTTATTCATACATTCAAACAGCTGTCACTGAAATAAGTTGAAATTGACAGACAAAAAAAAAGAAAATCATGACATTGCTTTTGAATTGTGATTCAACAGATAATTTTTTTAAACTAATATTTTGTTGAACAGCCCTTTGAGCCAATCACCGCAATCAAGTGTTTTCTGTAACTCTCAGTCAAACTTCTGCACCTGTTGACAGGTATTTAGATTTTTGCTCATCAGCAAAGTGCTCTAATTTGGACAGTTTTGTTTTTTTTTTGTTTTTTTTTTTAATTATTCTTTTCCACCACAATTCAACAGCAATGTCATATGTCACTAAACTATAATTTTGCAAATTTTTAGCTATTATTACCTTTTTCAGTTTCAAGTTATTTGAGTAACTATTGTGAATTTTGCCTTTTCTTTAATGGATAAATTTGACCGTAGATGTGCTTGACGACTCTCCTGTCTGTTAATGATCCCGCTGAAGACTGATGAGCAGAACCGCAGTTAAACACGACAATGACATAACTGGAGCACCATCATCACCATCATCACCATCATCACCATCATCATCATCATCATCTTCCTCCCCTGAAGGTGGAAAAAGTGACACTGATTTAAATCTAATACCGGAGCGGTGACATCACTCCCCCCTCGGCGAGCAGGCCGCGCTCTGATTGGTCGGCGGCGGCGGCCAATCAGCGCGCGCACACATGGGAAGCGTTTAAAAAAGATTCAGAAAAGTTGTCGGAAAGTCGTTTGGTTTTAAAAACCCTCCCGAGAGAGAGGCTCCGAGCACCGCTAGCCACCGACAGAGAGAAAGAGAAGAAGACTACCAGCTCAGGATTAGTCGGGGGGACTTTCCTCTCTTTTCTCTCCGGGTGTGTGTGTTTTTTTTTTTTGCCCGCCTCGGACTCAGAACCTGCTTCTTCCATTTTTAAAGCCCTCCACTGTAAATAATACAAACAACCACCTGAAGAATGACAACACACTTCAGGAGCGGCCCAGCCTTCGGACTCTCTGCCGAGGTCAAGAGTAAGGTAGGTTGTTTTAATTTTTTTCCAGGATGGTAGAGGGAACACGGGTTCTCCAAGGTGGGGGGTCAGGAGGTCCTTCAGGGGTCAACACCGAGCTCCTAACGGCCCCTCTTAGCCCCAAACAGCAGCTAGCTCTGAGGGAACAAGCTAGCTAGCAGTGGTTTAACTAACTATAGGCAGCAAATGGATCAAAACAACTGAAAACTACTTCAATAAAACAATATGTTGTGATGTGGAAGCTGCTTTTGTTTTGTTTTTAATGTAGCCTAGCTTCTCTCTTTGGTTAGCATCAGTGCTGTGATGCTAATTTAAATGCCTGGTTGGTGTTTACATGATAAACTGAAGCCCTTTAAATGTGGGATGTCATCTGTGCTTCCTTCTACATATATTTGGGGTAAAAAAAAGCTGTGATGTGATCTCATTCCAGGTTGCTTGAGCTCCAGCTCCAGTGACACGCTGCTGGTTTTCAGTCATAGATCACACCGTGAAGGAGGTGATTGTTTTGGAGCTGAAAGTAGGTCTTGGCGGGACAAATAATTTGAGCGATTATGAAGGGGTCAGGGCATTTAGTCTGTGAGAGGGTGGACGCTTGACTTGTGCTGCTGTTAGCTCTGCTGTTCTGGTGTTATTGGATCATTTATCTTCTCAGCAGTTACAGAAAAAAAGAGACAAAAGTGAGAATATGAGCTTGTAGGTGCATCACACAGTAAAATATCATCACAAGTAGTGCCACAACAGTCTTTTATTATGACTATTTTAACTTGTGCTTGCATAAAAGTGATATTTCCATGTTTCTGGGGGTCAGGTTTACTTGTGTTGGAGGCAGATTTTATAAACTAATGCATGTAATCTGCAACCTGTAGCTGCAAAGTGGCACAAAATCCATCAAACTTTAAATTTCCTTATCCAGATTCCACCTCTAAATGTTGTCGTACACAGCAAAGCATAAACACATCCCATCATTGCTAAGCTGTCACCGCTGTGAGGCAGCTGGGTAGTGTTCAAACAGCGCCTGTGAATAGGTTTTTATTTTTTTTCCCTGTGTTTACAGCCTTTGTCGTGACAGTAGTGAGTCTGTATGTTGGGATGAGTCAGAGCTGCTGACAGTCTGTGTTCAGGATGAGAAAAGGTCAGCTTGTGACTGCTCCAACACCCAGATCATCATCATCACCATCATCAGCGCTGTTATGGAGGGACGTGGCCTCTTCCCCGAATACTCCCATCTCTCAGCAGTGCTTTAATCTCACACAGAGGTGCCCTGCTCTCTGTGAAGCCCGCATTCCTTTCATTACTGCTGTTCAGCAGTCGGCAGCCTCTGCAGCGCCGGTCGAGCTGCTGTTTTGCTGCCATCCCCGAACCGATCGTGCACACAGAGTAAGTGGAAGCTGAGAAGTAGAGCAGAGGGGGGGATAAAGTTTAATTCGAGGGGCTTGTGGGTCATGCTGGGATGGTACGTTCCAGCAGCATGACATCAGAGGGGGAGCAGGGATGCGGCACAGAGACTGACAGGTACATCAGCATCATCTGATGGCCTTTTATGGAGTGACTGTGCTCTGACTGGGAACTTGAGAAAGTGTCCTCACTCTAAACAGTTTACATCATGACAAAACAGTGTCCTGACACAACGCAGGTGGACGGGAGAGGGACGGCCGTGGCAGCGGCTCACACAGCAAATCATTTTACGCTGCAGGCGGAGACACGGCTGGAAAAAAAAAATAACACAAGATCTCAATGGAGATAATTCTCCGTTTGTGTATGCAGATGTTTCCACATGTCGCTGACTAACTGCTGGACACGGAGGCATACTTCACACTCGTGGTCTGTCTCCTGGTTTTGTACCCTTTATGGTAATAATACGGGCCTGTGAGATTCTACATATGTTGTTGAACAATTCACGCAAACATTCCATTGTTCAGTCAGGCGTCGTGCTGCTGCTGCTGCTGCACCCTTACATAGTATGGTATGACCAGTAGCTGACTCTGTAGCTGGTATTACATGACATGGATTAGGAAGTTCACTGACTTTACTGATCCTGATGTTGCACAGTGTTTTAGCATTAACCGCTAATGTGTGGAGACTGCTTTAAGCTACATTTCAGCAGAAGTTCCTTCATGCTTAAGGGCAAGGTGTCAGTTTAAATGTTCTGATTGCTGCTGTTATAATTATCTG